GGCGCCCCGCGCTGAGCCCGGAGCAGCGCGCGCGCGCCCCCCGGCCTGTGAACGCGCCGCGGGAGCGCGCAGGGGCGGGGCGGAGCGGGCCCGGGAGCGCGCAGGGCGGAGCTTGGCGCTGGGCTCGCGAGCTGGCGGCTCCGGCTCGGTTCCATTCGCTGGGTCGCGCTGGGCTCGGCGGAGGACGCGGGGATTTAGCGCCGCTGCAGGTGCAGGATGGCTGCTCGGCTGCCCGCGCTCCTGCCGCTGCTCCCGCTGCTTCTCCTCGGCCAGGGGCCGGCGGGGACCGTCTGCCGGCACGCGGAGCACTGGAACAGCTCCAACGCGCAGTGAGTCCGGGGGGGGCCGAGGGTGCAGGGGGGGCGCGCCAGGGGGGCTCCAGGACCCCCCCGTGGAGCTGACAGCAGGATGTGTGTAGTGGGGGGGACCCGTCGGGCTGGGAGGAAGCGGCTCCCGTGCGGGCCGGGGGGAGCCTCGGGGGGTCCCGGGCCGCCACCTGTCCCTGGCTGGTCCCTGCCCCGCCTCCCCCCGTTGCTCTTAATGCTGCCCCCCCCCCAGTGGAGGGGCCGGAGCCCGCGGTGGTGAGGGCGGGGGCCGGGGGCTGTGCGCGGAGAGGCAGGTGGCGGCCCCGCAGCGCCGGGCACGGTGCACAAGGGCCCCCCCGAGGCTATGGCGCGTGTCCCCCCCCCGGCCCGCGGCGTTTTGCCCATTGCAGGGGCTGGACTGTCCGGGGGAGCCGGGGCTGTTCTGGGGTCGCCCCCCGTGGGCGGGTGGAGGGGCCCCGGCGGCGCCCGTGGGTTTAGCCGGCGGGCGGGGCGGGGGGGTGTTTATTGCAAGCGGAAGGTGCCTGGGGAGCTGGTGCCAGGGGGCCCGGAGCATCCGCAGGGTCTGTTGCCTGGGCGGGGTCTGGGTCGGGCGGGGGCGGTCGCCAAACGGTCTCGCTTCCCAGGGGTGAGCTGGGGCCGGACTCGCTGGGTGGACCTGTCCCGAGCCGTTCCACTGCGCGCTGGGAGAGAGCCCAGGGCGCGGGGGTCCCCTGGGCTGGCGGGGGGGGGGTCTGGGAGAGAGCCCAGGGCGCGGGGGTCCCCTGGGCTGGCCTGTCACTGAGCCCCACGTAGTGTGGATGGCCCTGTCTGAACATGCCCCGGGAGGCTGGGCTGCATGGATCCCGCAGGAGCCGGGTGAGTCAAAGCCATGCGCCAGCCCACGCCTGCCTGGGGGGGCCACTGCGCCCGTGTGTCCGTTCGTCTGCCCCCCGGTGCGCACAGACAGACGGCGTCTCGCTCCCTGACTGTCTGGGGTGGGTGCGGGGGGCGACACCCACTGGCTGCAGGCGGCACGGGAGGCTGGCAGGGGAAGGGGCTGCAGTGCCCACTGGCTGTTTGCCCTGCAGGCCAGGCAGGGCACTGGCGGGGTCCTGGCCCCCACGGGGCTGCTGGTGCGGCCCCCCGGCAGCATAGGTGAGGCAATGCGGGCGAGACCCTGGGAGCGAGCTGTCCGCAGATACGGTCTAATAGAACGGGGCCTGGGCAGGGTGGGGGGCTACCCCCACTCTCAGCTGCTGCCTCCCTCCGCCCTACACCGGTCACTTTAGGCTCTGGACTCCTGGAGCCCAGCTACCCTGTCCCGCGGCTCTGTGGGGCGGGGCGCGGGCGGCTGGAGGGGTCACAAAGCCAGCGCTTCAAACCAGTCAATAGGATTTGTAAGTGAAGATCTGACGATTGCTGGCGTGTTCGGAGCCGCTGTGAGCAGAGCTGCAGGGAGCCCAGCCGATCGATGGCTGGGAGCGAAGCAACCCCCCCTGCGTTGTTCACTCTCTGTCGCTCGGGGCTGGGGGGCCGCTGGCGGGTTGCAACCAGCAAAGCCCAGGTCACCGCACTGCCATGGCAGAGCCAGTGGCTAGCCCAGGCCCCAGTGGTGCAGGGATGGGCAGTGGAGCATGGGCTTTGACAGAGGCATGAAATGGGCACAGGCTGGCTGGGTGTATGGGAGTGTCCCACCAGCCTGGCCTGGGGAAGGGAGGGTCTGCACAAACACAGCCCCCTTGCCCTGCCCTGGGGGGACACTGTCGCTTAGCGAAACGTAGCCTCCGCCACCCCGGTTCCATTTGCAGGGGGACTCGACAATGAACAGGGGAGGGCTCTGGGTCCAGCCGGAGCATCTCTGTGCTGTGCCGGTTCTGGGGGGGTGCCCTCCCGTCTGTCTGGCACTCCCCCGCTGTCCGTGTCTCTTTGTCCGAGGAGGGAGCGTTCCCCGGGTAGCGCCTTCCCTTCCCATTCAGATTGTGTCGTGAGGCGGAAGCGCAGGCCCCATAAATTGCGCGTGTGTGTGAGACGTGCGGAGCCGAGGAGCAGCACAATGGCGAAGTGGCTGGCTCACCCCGGCACGGGCGCCTTTCAGAGGGACCTTCCCGCTCGCCCCTCCCTTAGCCAGGCCCCGGTGACCCAGCCCCAAATTTCCTAGCTCTGCCTGTCCGGTGTCCCTGGAAGTTCCCTTGTCACGCCCTTGTCAGCGCTGGTGTGACAGGCTCCGCCTGGTGCCTCCTTGGTGGGGCTGTGCCCGCGGGATTCTCCCCACCCGTGAGCCGCCCGGGCTGGAGGGATCGGGGCTGTCCACCTCGGTGATAAAATGCCTGCCAGGAGAGACCGCGCTGGCCCTTCCGCCCCTCCGAGCCCCAGGGGAGGGATGGGAGGAACCCCAAAGTGAGCCTGCACCCCATAGGGCCCAGCGTGGGGCGACGACGGGAACCGGCTCCCAGGCAGGGGTGGCTGCGGCAGTCCTGTTCCTGGGCGCGCCGAAGCGCTGATATTTATGGCCAGGCAGTGCGGCAGGTCGGACTCGCTCACAACCGTGCGGCAAAGCATCAGGATTAGAGAGAAATCACGGGGGGGCGTTCGGCTCCCTGGGCTGCGGGGCACGAATCTTGGCACCCCCGGTGGGATCAGCTCCTTGGGGGGCCTGCGAGCCCCTCCTTCCAGGGGAGAGTGCCAGCTGCAGCTGGTGCCCTGCTAATCCTTCCAGCCCCATGGTCCTGGCACGCCAGAGCTGCGGCGGCTCCTGCATCCTGGATTGCTGAGGGGGTGAACTGGGGTGTGACTCCCCGAATCCAGCACTCGCCCCATCCTGGGGCTCCTGGCGCTCCAGGCTAGCAGCAGCTGTGTTTGTGTGTCCCCTTGTGGGGGGGTTACTCCCTCTGCTCCTCCCCCTGCCCCCCAGGCTGGTGTCTCTCCCTCCACAGGGGCATGAGGGGGTTATCTGCTCCAGCATCCAGTGCCCTGCCCTGGCCCCATCCCCACCAGCATCACAGGCCCCCGGGGCATCAGCCGCTCCCTTCGGACCCTGACCACTCCCACTCGGAGCAGAACCGATTGCCCTTGCCCCGGCTGGGCGCCTGCTGCTCCAGGCCAGGCCTGGATCCAGCTGCTCCCGGGCAGGGTGCTCTCTGCTCTGCCCGGTCCCTCCTCTGGGGATCCCACCTCGAGGACCCACCCCTCAGAGCCCCCAAGGGGGAGGGGGTAACTCCTCACTGCACCTCCCCCCAACCGCCCCAGACCCTTAACGAACAATGCTGGAGACCCCACGATGGGGGCTGAGGGGCGCTGGGATGGCAGACCCCAGCCTCTGCCACCTGTGCCCAGGAATTGGGGAGAGGGGGGCGCAGCACGTTCTGTCACGTTCTCTGCTTGGGGTGGGGAGGTTCTCTGCTTGCATCTCACCCCTGGCCCAACTGGGCCGGGCGTTTGGTCTCTCCGCCTGCGTTGCCCCAGCTGGTGCTTGGGTTTGCTGCCTCTCATCTCCCTGCCTGGGCAGGTGGGTTTGGCTTGTCTGTCCCGCACCCTCCGCGGGCAGAGGCCTGTGCGTGGCTGGCGCAGTGCTGGGCAGGCGTGGCTGTGAGTGCAGCGCAGAACGAGCCTGGAAGCTTTGGGGCGGGGGGGGGGGTAATTGGGCGGCCCCCCCACCCCCTGGCCATCATGCCAGCCCGGGCCTCGCAGACGCAGGTTCCTGCCCTGTTGACTCT